CTTGTGGTAAAAAGGAAACTACTATTGTAAGATTAGAATTGTTAGCAGCAACTATTGCATCTCGTCTTGCTGCAGACGTTCTAAAAGACTTTGAGGCCAGAAGTATATTTTTCTGGACAGATTCAACTACTGTCCTTGCATGGATAAAAAGGGAAGAACAATGGGGGACATTTGTAGAAAATAGAGTACAGGAAATAAGGCTTTTGACACGTGTGGAGGATTGGAGGCATATACCTGGTCACCTTAACCCTGCAGATCTTCCAAGTAGAGGGTGTTCAGTTCGCCAACTCTCCCGGTCAAAATGGTGGGAGGGTCCGAGCTGGCTTTTAAAATCGCAAGAAAATTGGCCGAGTGCCGAATTTATAACTGATGAAGCGGAAATAGCCAGCGAGAAAAAAAAAGGCAGTGGTTTCATCTCTAGTGTCTACTGAAAGGTTTAGTTTGAGTGAGCGATTTTCTAGCTATCGAAAAACAGTTAGAGTTGTTGGTTGGATTCAACGATTTTTCTTTAATTGCAGAAATAAGAAAAAAAGGAAAGGTGAACTCACTGTTGATGAAATTGATTTTGCAGAAAAGGTTGTTATTCGCTTGATTCAATCGGAATCGTTTCAGGATATAGAAGACGCACGCTTACGAACTCTTAGTCCATTTTATGATGCGGGAATTCTAAGAATTAAAACTGGTGCGTTTCGAAGAGATGACACGTTAGAGTTTAGAACACCTATAATATTACCAGGAGAACATCCATTAGTTAGGAATTTAATTATGGAAGAACATAAAAAGAAAGGACATGCAGGTGTACAATATATACTGAATACCTTAAGGGAAAGGTTTTGGTTGTTATCTGGCAGAAGAACGGTGCGTTCTGTTTTGAGTAAATGCATTACTTGCAAGAGATATTCTGCTGCACCTGTTGACCACATATCAGCCCCACCGCCAATAGAGCGAGTAAATGATTCAGCAGTATTTCAAGTAACGGGTATAGACCTTTGTGGTCCTTTATTGTTGAGAAACAAAGAAAAGGCATGGATTTGTGTTTTTACATGCGCCGTTTATAGAGCGGTCCATTTGGAGTTGCTGACTTCTCTATCTACAGAAGTGTTTCTTCAGGCTTTTCATCGGTTCGTGTCACGAAGAGGTAAACCCACAACTGTGTACAGTGATAATGGAACTAATTTTGTAGGAGCTTCAAATGCATTTAAATTAATAGATTTTGAACAAATTAATCGGCAGGCAGCCAATGAGCGGATAACATGGAAATTTATTCCCCCTGGTGCTCCATGGTGGGGTGGTTGGTGGGAACGTCTGATCGGAATGATGAAGCAAGTCCTTAAAAAAGTTCTTAAACATGCTTGTTTAAATTATGAAGAAATGTACACGATACTGTGTGACTGTGAAGCGATTCTTAATGACCGACCGTTGACAGTAATTCCTTCCGATCCTGAATTTAAAGCTTTAACTCCTGCCGACTTTTTAAAAGAAATTAGAACTAGTAGTTTGCGGGATATAAAATACGGTATTAAATCAAGTAATTTACAAAGAAGATTTCAGTATATTCAAACTGTACGAGAAGCATTTAAAAATAGATTTCGTAAAGAATATTTGGGAATTCTCAAGGTTTCGCATAAAAGAGCTGAAAGGAAAGTTACTATTAAATTAGATGATATTGTTTTGATCGGTAGTAGTGACAAAAGACTTTTTTGGCAACTTGGTCGTGTCATAGAACTACTTCCAGGACCTGATGGAATAAATCGGCTTGCAAGAGTAAAAACCCGAAATGGAATTTTGCTAAGAGCGGTTCGAACTCTGTATCCTTTAGAGGTAGCGCAAAATGATGTACCCGTGAAGCTGCAGAATGAAAAACAAGATTCGTTGTCTGAACTTAAACTCAACATAGATGATAAATCTGTCAGGCCTGTAACACGATCTGGTAGAACTGTAACTCCGCCGGACAGACTGGCATATTAAGGCTCTTTGGCATTGTTTTACTTTGATGTGAAAGTTCACTTTTTTTTTTTTTTTTTTTTCCCCTTAGGTGGAAGGATGTTAAATATTTGCATAAGTCGCCTGTAGTAACGGCAACCGCCGGCAATAAAAGGAGGTGCTTTCCTTAGTGGCACCGCAGTTCCTTTTAGTTCGAGCCAGAATAGACCTGCCCGGGGAGAAGCCAGGGGATGAGAGATTCCGGTTTCCGCCCTGTTCCGGTTCCCGTCTTGTTGCGGATCCAGTCCTGTTCCGGTTCCCGTCTTGTTCCAGTCCTGTTCCGGTCCTGATCCAGTCCTATTCCAGTTCCAGCCTGGCCGTTTAAGTCCAAAACACGTAGGAGCGGATGTCTGAATTCAGCGAATGGAGATATACGCCGAAAGGGCTAGATGGATTCTGTCTTTTAAAGGGAAAGTGTTCTTCACCGTGCCGGCATAGCTGTTACTTTAAAGCACTTTGAAGTTTTCCACCCAAGATGTTAAGTTTTTGTTTGTGATGTTAAGTTTTCATCAGTGTTGAAGTTCCAGTTAAATAAACCTTTAAGTTTTAGACAAGGTTTTTGTGTTCTTCAGAAAATCTTAGATTCGAAGTCAGATGTAACACATAGGATTATTATCGGAAAAATCAACAGTATCTTAACTGCTTAAGTTTGATTTAATGCGGAATTCTTAGAACCACATGCGGAAGCTTTACAACAGGGAAATTATTTGACAATTCTGAATGATTTTAGTGAAAACCAGTCTGAATGCTTATAATTAAATTTCACGAAAAGAAAATCTCAAGAAATTTTGAAAAATGAAGTCTGCGGCATGAATGATTGTGCTTTCAGTAATTTTTTTTGTTTGGCTTTTAAGTCGGTAAATAATTTATAAGAGGAGAATTATGGTAGCAACTCATATAAAAATGAAATAAAATATTTCTATTTTACTTTTTCAATGTACATTTCTCTCTCCAAGAACATTTATCATCCTGATTTTTGAATAAATTGAGAATATGAAATTTAATAACAGCTTAAAATTTAGCATAATACCAATTTTTAAATAAAATTCTCTTAATATTCGTGGACATCGTTTGTTTAATAATAACTTTGTAACGAGTGAAGGCATTCTTAGTGTAATGATCAATTCAGTACGTGAAACAGATCATTGAGAGGTCGAGTGTCCGATTACGAGAAATAATCACAGTCAATTTCTTTGTTCTCCTAAATATAAGGTTTAAATTTGTATGTCTAATTTAGCAAGATACCTAAGGGTCCTCTAAAAATTTGAGCTTTTATGCGGCGGCACAGTTTGCATCACTGCCTCCATCAAAAATTTGGGCAGCATAATTACTGTTTCTGTCCCTCTATGAATGCATACCTTGATTCATTCGCATATAATTTCACTAAAGTTATTAACATATATAAAAAATTTGTAAACAATATGTTTGTTTTAGTTTCGTTTATCTGATTACGGCAAATCGTACGAGGGCTATCTGCCAAAGACGAAAGATGCCTTCGTGGGGGACATTCTAAGGGAAACTGACTCATAAACATATTACACATTAAGAAATATGTTACTGTGATTATAATTAACATAAATACCTGCTAAGAATAAGAAACAGGAATTACCATAAAATATTAAAATTATCTCTGTCATGAAATTATGCTTTTCAATTCTCGCTCAGAAGGGTAATAATAATTTTGTTTTCTGTTCTTATGCCAAAACCATGAGGTAGCTGAAACTACCAAGATATAATACATATAAACAAGATAGGTAGCTGAGTTTGCTACCTGTCTTGTTTATATCTAAAACTTTCTAACAATATTTAAAAGCGTATGATATTCTATAAATAAGTATTTTTGGAAAAGTCTTACTATCATCGCCTTTTTGCTATAATATTACAGAAATTACCACTGTTCAAAGTAATTTCAGTTAAAAATAAAAATCAGGGACGTGGTGTTTCTCATAAGGAACTCAGTGCTCAAGAACACGATCTTTCAATCATTCAAGAACAATCTTAAGTTTTAAATATAATTAAGGATCTTTATTTCTAAATAACTGGAATCTTTTTATCCACATAAATTCTTATTTACACTTCGGTTAATTATTTTAGGTTAGATTTGTAAATATTAATCAAATTAGATGTTAACTGAATAGGGTACAGGTATTTGATTTTACAAAGCTAGAAAAAATTCTTATGAAGTATTTCATTTCTAAATTTTGTTTGTTTCTTTATTTGATTCTTCGACGACTTTAAAGAAAACGAACTGCAGTCCGAAGAAAAATATTTTAAATATTTGAACTGTATAAAAATGATCGGTAATATTTTAACCCAGATAAAAATGTCAAATATTCCTACATACAGAAAAGAATAAAGTTTGCTTGCATGATAATTCTAAAATTAATTTTCTGAGAAGTTAAAATGCTGTTCTACGAAAAACTTTCATTCAACTAATCAGCCTTCTATACTATAGTTATGCATCTTTGATATTATTTCTTAATCCTAGACTTCAATATTTATTTAATTATAAAAGCAAGAAACCTGCAATAAGTAGTATGTTTAATCTATATGCGTGACCTTATGATTAAACAAATGGCATGGGAAAAGCAATCATAAGGAACAAAGATTTAAATATACGAGAACGAAGATTTCAAAATACACGCATTTCTTTAGCTTCACTTTTAGATAGTTAAATTTGAAAAAAATTCATTTCTTGCGAAACAGACGTAATAGTTCCTTGCGTATTAAGTAGATTATTTTATTTAGTAAATTAAAATTTCAAATATTTTTATTAACTCTAAAAAATTTCTGAAAATATAAAAGTTAAATTGCGTTTTTGCATTCTTTCTGTTAACATACTTTCTCAGCGTATTTATTAGCTAAAGCTCAAATAAAAAAATTACGTTTTGTAAACAGCATTGCATATCCAATAAACCCTACAGTCCATACCCTAATATTTAGATCTAAGAACGTATGTTCTCAGCTTATTTTTTCAGATTTGTGCCATTTTTAAAGAAAGGATTCTTTGCACTCACTCTTGGCAGCACTTCATCAGCTCTTCAGCTTCTTCTTCATTTTCTTTAATTCCAAAGGCTGCGTCTGCAGCAAGAAAAGAAATTTTAATCTACATGTAAAGAGGAAAACCAACAAATAAAATTTAATTGCAGATCATTTCAAATAACAAAGAAATAATGCTTATAATTAAGAAAGCAATTGTGCGTTTAATAATAAAAATTTACTGAAAAACGCAAAAGAAAATATAAGTAATCATCTCTATCTAACTGTCTAATTCTTAGAGAAGGAAATAGGAAATTCTCAGAACTTAATGATATTTACAGCCTTGGCCAAAAGTACTACGCGCTCTTTAAGTTATTAAGAAATAGGCGCTTACTTTGAAATAGCTTCGAGATGCACGAATATTGGATTACTGGCTGACTAAATAGGAGGCTTATAAAAGCAGTTGAATTTCAAGATCTGCCAGACGCACCAGGTTGGCGAAAAGTTATCGCCAAACATTTTTCCCGAGAAAACAAATTTTCGTGCGCATGTTAAGCGTAAAGTGCGAAATGTAAACAAAATTGAGGAGGCGGAGCTTAGCGACGTCATAAATGGGTGGAATTAGGGTTATGACGTCATAATGTATTCCTAAATTTTATGTTAGGTTTAATTTACTATTTTCTACTGAAAATAACAATAATCATCTGTTTATTATTGTACTGTAAGTTCTTTATTTTAAATACCTCTATTATACTCGTATTTCTAATAATTAAACTTTGATTTTCTAAAAGTAAATATGCTAAATTGTTTGTTTCAAACTGCCGTGATAGAATAATTCGGTTACAGAATTTATTGAAATAGCAAACAACATCCTCGTCTCGCATACTTATGCTTTCGACAGCTTCGATAATTTCAAAGATTTTTAAGTTTTGGCATTAATACCAATAAGATCAATTTTTTAGCCCGAAGGAGCCGTAACCCAGTTGTCCCAAAACGGCATTTTATAGCATTTCCCTATAAACGGCGAATCACTTTTTAAACTGTGGCCACCAAATATTTTCACACTGTATTACACTTAAAGAAATTAAATAATTAAAAATCTGAATGGATGTATCTATGTTTGTCACATTCTGAAAAAACGACGGTACCATCAAATTTTGAATAACGTAATCCTCCACCCGAACATGGGCAACTGGTCGCCTGAAACTGGAATTTCGAATTTCTTTTATTATGTATTTCATATCTGTTAAAACGTTAACGAATCTTTTATTCACAAGCTCAACAATCTCAATGCGAGCAATGGCAGCACTGTACGGGAAAAAGCAGTTTTATCCTCAGCACGCGATACTGTCTATCGAAAATTCTAATAATATGCTGTTTTTAAATATTTTGTGATATTGCTGCTGAATTGAATTTTATGTGGTTTAACCCTTTCCGGCACTCTACGTTTTAAAGTTGGAATTTCGACACAAGAAAATGTAGGCAGTTTAATCAGGCCTAGAGTAGTACACAGGTAAACTTTTGTGAAGATAGCACTTGTCATTTTATTTCTGTGGATGTGCCCGAAGCGGGCACACTGAATAAATAGAGCTTCGAAAAGAGTGCTGAAACGAGCATGGAAAGCACATAAAAGAGTAAGAAATTTTGCCTACGATCAGTGGCGTACCTAGGGTGGGGCAAGGGTGGACATCTGTTCCCGGGCGCAGCATCCAAGGGGCGCCAAATTGAAACTACGAAATTTTTTAATGAAATGTTTTCCATTCTTAGCACACAGAAAGAGGCACAAATTCTTCAGTTGTCCCCGGGCGATGGAAACTCTAGCTACGCCCCTGCCTACGATTAAAAAACACTAGATTCTGAACACCGTAGCAGATTTAACATTACCCAGGGTGTGCCATGGGGACACCTGCTACTCTACACCCCCTAAAAATGCTCTTCTTGGTTATATGATGATTATATGCGTATGAATGGATAGATGTAACTTAAGTATAAGATATTTACATTATTTACACTTCATATTTACACTTTCATCTATTTTTTTCATGGTGGTACTTTTCGAAGTATTTTCGCTGAATCTCTTTGCTTCCGTGGAGACATACAGATTAAAAACAGCAAATTATGGAACATCATGTGCTCCCTTTTTAGGATCTAGAACAATGACAGCATTAACTGGAGATGAACAAGGGAAATTTCCTCAGTCATCGAATGTACTAATCAACGACTTATACGTTGATGACATTTTATCGGGATCTAATAACTTAGAAGAACTAATTCAGAAGACAAACAACAAAAATCAGCGTTATATTTACAAAATTTCCACAGGACTAGTTTCGATGGTTTTACCGAACCACCATCCTTAGCTGCAAAACCGCAAATGAGCAAGGTAGGAAAAAATGATTAGATAAGATAATAAAAAGCCCTGGACAAGAATAAGCAAGTGGCGCCATCTGTTGGTGAAACCAGAAACTAAAACATAATTTCTTTAAAAGCCGAAGGCAAATTTGGATGGAATTAGGATCGTTAACTAGAACAGAAAGATTTTTATGAATGTGAAATGCCTCTAGAAAATCCAAGTTCTCCAATGGAAGATGTTTTTTGAATAATTTTGGCAGCAGCAGAAAATTGAAAGTGTGATTTTCGGACCAACAATGTTGCGGCAACAGAAGACTTCTGTGTTTCCTTTTTCTAACATATGCCTCATGTTCCTTGACGCGAAATTTAAGGCTCTCTTAGTTTGGCCAATGTAAATTAAACTTTTCACCCAACATTATAATCAAGCATTTAAAAAATTCTCATCTCAAAAACACTAAAAGGCACACTCTTGTTTTAGGAGATTATAAAATTCTGTTGTCATTCCTTCTTTCCATCATTAGCTATAAAGTTGCACATATTTGCAGAAATTTTAAAAATTGGCCAATTTTAATTTACATTGGTTTGCCTTCCACCACACTTTAAATCATGTCATCCGACTAAACAAAAGTTAGCTTCATTTTATTCCTATGTTTTCCATGCTCTTCAAGTTTGCTCCTCCAAACTAGCCCTTGATGAAGAACTAAATTATTTAAAAGCAATAGCTATTGACAGGGGCTTTTCACCCAACATTATTAATCAAGCAGTTAAAAAATTCTCATCTCAACACACTAAAAGGCACACTCTTATTTTAGGAGATTATAAAAATTCTGTTGTCATTCCCTTCTTTCCATCAATTAGCTATAAAGTTGCACATATTTTGCAGAAATTTAACTTTCGGGTTGTTTATTCTCCCATCAATAAAATTCCGACTTCCATACTCAAGGACCCCATTCCGGATATGAATTCCTGGGGTATTTATAGGATTCCTTGCCAGTGTGGTTTAATTTACATTGGCCAAACTAAGAGAGCCTTAAAATTTCGCGTCAAGAAACATGAGGCATATGTTAGAAAAAAGGAAACACAGAAGTCTTCTGTTGCTCAACATTGTTGGTCCGAAAATCACACTTTCAATTTTTCTGCTGCCAAAATTATTCAAAAAACATCTTCCATTGGAGAACTGGATTTTCTAGAGGCATTTCACATTCATAAAAATCTTTCTGTTCTAGTTAAAGATCCTAATTCCAATCCAAATTTGCCTTCGGCCTTTAGAGAAATTATGTTTTAGTTCTGGTTTCGCCAACAGATGGCGCCACTTGCTTATTCTTGTCCAGGCTTTCTTATCTTATCTAATCATTATTTCCTATCTTGTTCATTTGCGGTTTTGCAGCTGAGGATGGTAGTTCGGTAAAACCATCGAAACTAGTCCTGTGGAAATTTTGTAAATATAACGCTGATTTTTGTTGTTTGTCTTCTGAATTAGTATTTATTCGGCGTGTTATTGTGTCTTAACTTAGAAGAAGCTAAGAACTTTCAGACTGAGTTAAAAAAAAAAAAAAAAAACTCTTAGCTGCAAGAGCTATGGAGTTACATAAATAGGCTTCGAATCATCCCGAGTTGTTAAATGACAGTAAAACCGAAGGACACATATTCTCATCAGAGCCTAGACTACAGTTAAGACTCTTGTTTATTATGGCGACCTTCGTCAGGCTGCTTTAATTTTAAGGAATCTGAACAGTTTTCCGTTTAATTTTACAAAGTGTGAAGTCCTTTCAATCATCAGGTGACTCTTCGACCCGTTGGGTCTTGTCGGTCCAGTTATTACTAAGGCCAAAATATTTCTTCAAGAAAATGTGGAAGAATAAACTCAACTGGAACGATCCCATTCCATCAAGTGAGTTAAAGGTTTGGTTAAAATTTCTAAAGGAGCTACCAGAAATCAATAAATTACCAAATTCATAGAGTCATTCTTATACCTGAATCCATCATTATTAATCTTCATGGATTCTGCGATGCATCCGAAAAGTGTTTCGGTGTGGTAGTTTATATCGTTTCAAAGGCTAGAAGCGTAACTATGAAAACAAGTCTACTATGCAGCAAACCAAGAGTTTGTCCGATTAAAGCTCTAACCATTGCACGACTAAAACTTTCAGTTGCGCTGCTCTTGGCCGGCCTTGTGGCAAATTCTTCAAATCCAGTTCAACCACATTTATCTGTGGGAATAATTCAACGATTGCGTTAGCCTGGATCAAGACCTCTCCTGAAAGATTAAAGACCTTTGTGTCTAATCCGGTTAAGCTGATAAATACAGACAGTCTCGCGCGCTGGAGATAAAAATGTTTTTCCCAATGCAAACAATGCTGCCGCTTTGAAATCATTAAATTCGGCTGACCAGGTGTCCTTCTGTCCATATTCGGGTGGAGAATTACGTTATTCAGAATTTGATGCCACTATTTACCGTTGTTTTTTCCCAGTGAGAAAAACATGCATACATTCAGGCCAAATCTTCGTTATTTAATTTCTTTAGGGTGATACTGTTTGGTAGCAACAATTTGAAAAGTGATTCAGACTTTTTAGTGATTCAACACAAAATCCCGTTTTAAGGCTAACAGCCCTTCTGGGTTAACGCTCCTTTGGACTAAAAACTTAATCATCATGTAAAAGCCATGCACAAATGCATCATTAATAACACCAGAAAATCAATATCTAATGTCATCCAAAATATGTGGTTGATATCTCTAAACAACATCCTTCACTTACATTCCAGCCGTAATAAATAAGTCAATAAAAGAACAATCAAACTGGCGCAAATACATCCCGATAACATCCACGTGAAGTGAGATATGCAACTAAATAAAAAAATCACTTACATACAGAAACGTCTAAATTGGTTAAATGGGTTGCCATACGAAAAAACCTCAGATACCTCATAGTTACCATGGTTATCTCATAGTTACCATGCAAAACAAAATCTCATAGATCTCATAGTTACCATGCAAAACAAAATATCGCCAAATTTGGTGGCCAGTGCGTCTGGCACATCTGTACAGATTTTAATTTAATTTTTTGATAACTTGTAATTTAAAACATAAAATATATATTTTACTCTGGTCATCCACGTGCTTAATGAACATATATTCAAAAGTCAGACATAGAGTTTGTAATAAGCTTCTTGGAATTTTTTAATAAATGAAGGCTAAAAATTTTAATTTCCGTTTGATGTGAATGTTTTCAGTTTTTGAATTAAGGAACACTTTCAACTAAGATGCTGAATTAAAATTTTGCTTACAATTAAGTATCATTTAAACAATTTAATTTTCCTCACTAGATTCCTAGAAAAGGCAGGAGATAATTGGGTATTTACCGTAAAATATTTATTTTCTTAAGAACTGGGAATAATGTTTGCATTAAGTTTCTAGCTTTTACATTTGTTAAATTAAATCAAAACTTCATGAAGCCACCCAACCTGGACAGTGGTTAGCGACGCTGACTGCCGTACCGAAGGGCCCGGGCTCGGATTCCTGATATCTGATGGATGTTTGTATAAGACAGGAGATGTCATGGATGATGTTTCTCTGGAGATCCCATTCTCACTCCGGAGATCTCATGGATGTTTGCTTGTCCGGAGATCTCATGAATGATGTATAGTAGCTGGACGAAATGGAGGCACCCTAAATATGTGGCGAGCTGAAAATCCTCTCGAGAAGTTGTGTGCTAGGGGAAGAGCATGGAGGTAAGAAGTAAGAGGACAGGCCCTAAACGTTTTTTCCCATACGTTGCTTTGAAGCACTGTCGATCCCTTCGTGGTGACTAAAACCTTCAGTGACTTACCATTAAGATCAATGGATTTTGACACGATCAGATGTAAACATTTTGTAATTGCGTCTTAAATATACATATAAATGTACACATTTTCTTTTTCTACAATATTTAAAAGTCCTAAATATATGAAAAGAATACATTTTTAAACAGCATTTCATTCTGAACGAAATTAAATGCTATACTTTTCACAGAACATCTTGCTCAGAACAGTTTAATTTGAATGAAGTATTTTCACAAGTTTTCGTTAATTACGTTAGAAAAAAAATTTTAAGGTAATTCGGTTAAGTATTACAAAAATTAAGATAAAATTTATTGGCATTATTCCTTTTCAATTTACAGAGCTTCTTCCTAAAATACTTTTTCAAATATGACATGATTTCTTAGCTTCTGAGGCATCTTTTAAATCGAAATCTGAGTCAATTTATAATTAATGCTACGCATCTCATAGACTTTGCTTTACAACACCTTTTAACAGGTTGCTTTCCAATAAGAACAATTCTTGCTTAAATAGTTTTATAAATGTATTTTTCAACAGAATTTCAATTTATGTTTACAATTTTTTGTTAAGGTTATTATATATTTAGGATTGTTATTTTTATTATTACTATTTAATCCACATAAATTTAGATATATTTAATAACCAGATTTCTTCATAGTAACTTTCACAGCAGTTTATGAATAAATAAATCCTTCATTTCAAACACATTTATAAATAATTTAATAAATATTTATGTATTTGTTAAAGGCAGGTACATGTTTTTTGCAAGCATATGCATTAATATATTTGATACGTATGCCCGTACACATTTCATATCTTTCATTTTCGGCGTGTACAAATCTTTAATTTCTGTGCATTCTATTTTTCGAATACAGTAACTTCGAGTACAGTAATTTTTCGAGTACAGTACAGTAATTTACAATAATTTATCATCAACTTGATCGCACATGGTACTTCCGAATTCGCAAATGTATCTGTCTTCTGTTCCACACATTTGTGTAAAACTGTACATAATTTTTCAAAAATGTAACTATTAAGCCTCTCCTCAAAAAATTTTTAAAACGTACTTGTTACAATAATATGTGGATGACAAAAAATTTATTTTATTTAAAACATTTTGGTATTTGGAACATAAATTAAAAGTAGCGAATACTCTATCAAGGGTATCGAAAGAAGTATACAATTTTAAAATTACCGTAAGATATTTTTCATTCTTTAAGCATAGCATTTTTGCTAAAATCTATATTTTTGTAATTCAACAGTTTAGAATTTTATAAAACAAATTCATAAGCAAAATCGATGTTGTTAGTTATCGAAAAATAACCAAGATGTGATATTCGCCTAAATGTCTCTAAACTATACAAATTGCTATACTATACAAGTATATTGCTATACTAAAACTATACAAATTGCCACCACACAATGAATGTTTCTTTTATGCGGAAATGTCCCGTTTTCGAGTTGTATGGAAATGTCGTGTGTCGAAATACTATCAAAGCGCTGTCAAGGGGGCTTTTGGATGTAAACAAAAAATACCCCCATCTGGAGACCGAAGCCTCGGAGTAGTGCTTCACTCGTAGTGCGGAGTTGGCCCCTCCTTTCATTCTTAACTCCATGGAGAAGAGGTATGGGAGACCCCGAATCCATCCCCCCATCGGAATGCTCCTTATCAAAATTGGAGGCGGAATTTAGCAAAGTCGTACTTTCAAGTATAATTTGACCTTGTATGGTGGTCAAAGCTCTTGCCAATGACAAGAGCAATTTTCCACTCCTTGCCACGGTGAATTTCGCTGGCTTGTTTTGATGTTGCTGTCAGACAAGTGAGAAAAGTCACAACGACAATAAAATTTTATGAAGGCATATCATACACTTACCACATATAACATATAAAGAATATTGCCCGAACAACGGTTCGAGGTCAACCCAGGGATTGTTCACACATTCCTTTATTTTGTCAACTAATAAATCAGCACCTTTGTTAAATTTTTCCATGTAATTCTTCTGGAGAATTTTGGTATGGAAAGCTGGAGTGAGTAAACTGCGCTTTTTACGCCAACTTTTGCCTTTGCTGAGAAAAAAAAAATTAAAAATTACAACAAAATTCTTTGCTTGAAATCATAATTATAGATTACATAATTATGATCTATTACCATATAATAAATTAAAACTTACAGTATAACTTAGAGATAATTGTAATATCTAGCATGAAAGAGTAGTGTTTAAGTGAAATGTCTGAATATTTCCATAGCAAAACACGTAAATCATTTCATTCAAAACCAAATGAGCACAATTTTTAAGCGTGCGAATTGAAGCATTCTATTCTTAAATTTAATATACATAAGCCGATGGATTCGCGAAGCTTTGTGTTCTATTGCCTCAAGAGCCTTAATTTTCCGCACATTATTCGTCATAACCCTGCACTTAAATCGGGCATGAGCACTTTCATTGTACATTCGGGCAATTGCAACTGAAGAATTTTTTTGCTCCGACATAATAAAGAGCTTCTGTACAAAGCGCTTGTCCATATAACGTTAAAATTGTATAGTCTCTTTGATTATTACTTGCTAAAAAATTCGCTGTGCGAAGAATGATAGACGTCGAAAATACGCGATTCGCGCGAAACAATTATCTAAGAATCGAAAAGGGATCCCGAGTTTATAAATATTTATTTCTAAAAGGATCCAGATCATTTTGAACACTCGGACTTTACCCCAATACGAAATAGAGCCGAAAACTAAGAAGTGAATGATAATTTTATTTTATTTTATTCAAACTCTTCAAATCAAAATCTGAACTTATACCAGCGGTTATTCCAGCGACATTAAGTATTCTAAATGAATCATACGATTCGCCCATGTCTGGCCACCTGGGATTAAAAAAAAAGGTGCAACGAGTTTGTTAAGCGGTGTATTTTCCGCAGGACAAAAGTTCTTAGGAATGTATGTCAGGTCGTGCCATACTTTTCAGTAAATAGCGATGTTAATTAGAGCCCGGCCAGGTACTTAAAAATATAAAAGCAGCATTCCCTACCGAATTAGTTGGTATCGACTTGTTATGCTTATTTCCCCTCAGCGAAATAAATAAAATTTGGTATCTACTTGCTGTCGCAGACCATTTCTCTAAATGGGTTGAAATAGGTCCCCCTGCAAAGAACCTCGGCTAAAATAGTTGCAGATTCGTTTTTAAATAAATGTGTCTTAAAATACGGAATTCCGTTAAAATTAGTTTCCGATAATGGAAAGCAATTGGTTAGTCAAGTATTTGAAGAGAAATGCGCAGGACTTGGCATATGCCACCTCAAAGTGGTACGGTATCGGCGGCAATCAAACATAGCGGAGTGAGAGAACAAGAACATAGTAAAAATCATATATTGCTATGTGAAAAACTACCGCAAGCACTGGGGTAGCGGGATCAATGACTAAGCGTATGCATTACGAACAGCGAAGAATGATAGAACGAGGAAAACTCCAGCCGAGCTATTTTCAAGCAGAAGGTTAATTACCCCGTTGGACAAATCATTTTTTGTACGAAAGAGAGCTCTGGAATTCCAGATAAAAGACATCCAAAATTTAACAGATGAAGCAGTTAAAAATTCATTAAGGGAATTAAAGTATATAATAAAGTGGGAGATCAAGTTCTTAAAATCAAGTATTGTCTATCATCAGCAGGCGAAGAACGAGTAATGGACCATATTATGTGGCAATTGCGGACCAAATTAAACCACATTATGATTGAACTAAAATGGAAAGTTTTAAGATTTATAAAAAACTCAAATGGGTAACGCGAATGCCACGAGGAGCAGCGACGGCGAACAGAAGTAAAATTGCCTTCTACAAAAAGAAAGGCAACTGCGAATATAGAGGAACAGGTAAAGAAACCTAGGAAGCAAACAGGAAGAAGAAAAGCCAAAAGCAAAGACGCAATGAATCCAGGGGGGCAACGCGAACTACCAAAGGAGAGCCAAATTACGCGAAAACTAAAGAAAATTTCAGCAGTGGACCTGACGCATGGAAAGAACCGACGTCGAGACGGATAAGGAGAAAGCGGCCAGCCCGAAAACATCTCAAGTCCAAGGAAATTCCAACGTTCTGGAGTGTTTAAACTACGCCAGTGAAGCTACCAGCTGAGCCGTCTGAAAGCTCTCAACATCATTAAAGAAATGCCGAGATTCCGGAAACGTCCCAAGAAGCCAAAAGTCTCCGGAGGAAGGGGAGAACCAGCGCTGCCAATGGTTTCGAGTTATACAAATAAAGTCCTACCCTACCTGAATTGACTTCATGACAAGAAGAATGAGAAAGTTTGAAAGATCAAAGAGATAATTGCAATTTTATTTTTACTTTAGTAAGGTTCAGTTTTATTTTATATCCAAAAGGACTAGATAATAAATTCTTTTGAGTTTAACCTGAAGTGAGGTTATTTTAGTTCATTTAAAGAGCAAAAAGCCTCGGGTATTAAAATTGTAATTATCTGTGTTCATTTTAAAGCTTATAAGGCATTTCTCCCGCCTTCTTAGCGTGCCTTCGTGGTGTAGTGGTCTGCACGCTGGACGTGTATTCCAGAGATTCGGAATTCGAGTCCCGGCGAAGGCATTGCTCCTATTTCACATGTCCTACTTCCAAAATACATAATGTCTCTACAGTGACGCCCTAACTAAAAGAATGGTGGATGATGATTCTCCACACCCCAGGATTTGGCGATTGGGTCCCCTAAAACCCCAGTCGCCCTTTAAAAGGGGGAGTATATAAGGTTCTTCCGGCTTCTTAGCGTGCCTTCGTGGTGTAGTGGTCTGCGCGCTGGGCACGTATTCTAGACGCTCGCTGTCGCTGTTCGATTCCCAGCGATGGCGTTGGTCATTTTTCATTATTCCTGCTTCCAAAATACCTAATGTGTCTACAAGCTACTTCAAAAACAAGAATGCGATTTTGGTCTTAAGGACAGTTACCAGGAAACGTGAATGAAAATGCTAAAAATTTCAAAGCAACTCGTGAATCTCGATGTAAAAGCAAGCTGAATTCTATTGTAAATATTTTACTCAGTGTATTGTATCTTATGTTTGTCACGTGAAAAGTATCCGCAAATATATATATTTAACTAAAGTAAGATTTGCATAGCTATAAGAATTCAATTGTATTGTATGAGTGATATGTTTATAAACAAGCTAGCAAAACTGAGAAAAAATAAGCTAAAAGAAAAGCTAGCTGTTTCCATGAGTTAAGTTAGGCTCTCCAGTTATCGCTCAATTTTAAATCACGATCTTGTTAGCAGCACATTAGGTGTAGTTTTAAAAATAGGGTGTCTTTGAGGTCTAGTAAGTCAAATACTGCTAATAAGTAGATTGTCGGTCAGCTGGTAATGTTTTCGGCACGCATTCAAAAGACACTGTCTCGGTATTACACTCCAATTTTTCTGGCGATGAATAGGGGAAGCGATTTAAATTGTGGAATAAATATAAATGTGTGGAATGAAAAATCTAGATAAATTTAAATGGAATGTTTCATGGTTCTAGAATATTTTTTTCTGAAGTCTTTTCTGCAAGGATGTGAACTCCTGAATAGTTGTACCATGTAAAGAAGAATCCAGCTCCTTTGTAAACACACTTTTTTATACTTAAAACCTCATGTTATTGTAAGACATTTGCTCTGAAAATTTTAGATAGTGAGAATTTAACTTTTTTAAAGGGATCGTCAAGGGCCTATTAAATTCTCGCAGGGAAAGGTGTGGAGATTTATTTTAGCTAATTTCCTTTCAGTCTCGTTTTCATTATCGTTTTCTTGCCAGAATATTAATAAGCTAGCGCGCGTGCATTCAAATGAGGTAGAAAGAAGTGCTATTTAAGGGGAGGTTTCGGTAGGTGAGTTCAGTTAGAGAGGACGTGTTATGGCTGGCTGCTGGAAGACCACATTACTGGTTTGAATTATTAGCGATTATATTGCTGTGGCGTTGAGTGTTTCTAACCAATAAGCTTGTGTCCGCCGACTTTTACGAGTCACAGCCTTCCTACTCGTTAAGTTACCCTGTAAGACATTAGGCTAAATTTATTATGGTTTAAGTGCATTGTTACGTGTTGTGAGTTAAGCCAGAAGTACTGGCTTTATGTCATCCCAAGTGGAGCCATCTGTGAAATCATATTGAGGGAATAAATGGCTCTTTACCTCCTTCTGACTTTCTGTTGTACTTAACACCGAGTGATAATTCCTCATACAATCTTTTAGAGCTCATTGTTGATGTACAGTAGAATTCGAGACTCTGTAACCTTTAATAGTAAGTGCATAAATTTAAAACTTTATTAACTGCTTCACGTAGCCTTAAATTCCTTTTCATTTTCTCTTTTTTAATCCTTAAGCTTCCTTTTTGCTTTTTTAGCAAAAGATTGCTAATTACCTCAAAAACAGGAAATATAGAGATAAAAATATTCCTTATTCTTTCTTGGGCTCACAAATCATTATGCGAATATACATTTAGAGCTTTCAAACCCTGAAAAGCACATTTCTACTAAGTTATCGTCATGCGATGATTTGTAGGTGCTTTATTTTTTTATCACAATATTTTCGACAACGATGTTTCAAAACTGGGATGTTTTTAACCTCTTTATTTTCAATAACGAAGTACTATATTACGAAGTTTTAAGGCTGCGATATTTTTCCCTTGCTTTTTCTTCTCCCACGATGTTTTTTACGACAACGTTTTTGCCTTATGTTGTTTTCTCCGCAAGGTGTTCTTGAGCAATTTTTTTGCTGCAGTGTTTGCGGCGATCACCATGCTGACCACTCTTCAAACTGATTATGAAATTATCCAGTAGGTTCTGTAACATGATTAAATAACCATGCTGGACGTTTTCGGCTGCATGCAATCGACAGTAACGATTCTAAGACTATTTCCTACACATAAGACAAAATTACTCTGGTATCACGGTTATTTGATGGCCTTTGAAGAATTTCATTACATTACAGTTCATCTGAGTACAGCAATTGTTTAAATATGTATAAATTTTCGAAAGAAATCGAAATCTTTAGAAGCCAATCGAAATTTTTTAACCTATTTAATTCATAAATTATGTGATAAGTATAGTATGTGATAAAATTAGTATTTTAACATCATAATTGCATTAAACGCAACTGTGGGAATAATAGTTATAGTTTTCTATGAGAATTTGATCTTCTCATGTACGTACTGTTAATTAATATTTGAAAATTACTTATGATTCCTCGTACATTAATGAAACTTTATCCATATATACTTAAGGAGATAACTTTTATACAAAAATTGCTTAAAGACAGGAGTTAAAAATTAGACTTTTATTATTGAATACAGATATAATATGTTACTGCTGGCACTATATCGTACACTTTCATACAGGATAGCGTTTAAGTTTTATACATAATGCATTATATGAATGGATTATTGCATCATGTGAATTTTGTTTGATGCTATAGAGACAATATTCCAAGTGTTGTTTAAAGGTGTCTTTTCTCTTGCAGATTCTTTAGGATTTAACACTTCGGTCAAAAAATTTTTATAAATGCTTTTATACGAGTGTGACAATACTCATTCATTAAGTTGGAATTCCGTGCATAACCAAGGGAGTTAAGAATTAAATTTTTTTGCGTTGAGATATTGGAATGATATGATATTTCGATATTGTAGGTTTTATTTATATAAGACTGCATGAAAGGCTAGTTTATACAGTGAGATAATCATTATTTTAATGTCTTAGAACTTTTTCTACATATTTGTGTTTATTGCCAACATAAATTTCAAAGAGTATATTTATGTAACAGCAAATTATTCTATATATTTCAAATATAAACTTTATTATACATTTCAGTGAGTTTCAGGTGAAAATTATTTGCTACTTACTCTATTTGAATATTTGTACAATTTCAATAGTTTACTAATGTTAATTGTTTATGAATATTTGGCTTTGTATTCATTTTATGGCATTTGGCGTACTGCTGCATTTACATTTTACATTTTATGCTGATTTAGCTTTCTGGCACTCGCAGAGTTCTATTCGTTTTGCCTAAGAGTTCTCAAAATTCAATTCTATTTAAGATATTTTTATTGATCTTCATGGAGCATTTTTAATCAGGCATATCCTGTCTTGACTTTAAGCATTTCTTTTTCTCTAGAAATTTTTAATTATCTACGTAGGAACTATATTAAGATTACAGTGCATAGTTAACCACATACTCTGTTTTTTCAATAAGAGATTTTTTTTACACTTAGCAAAAGTTTATAGTCATATATACTTTTATTTTCTGACCCTTTCATATATATATATATAAAACTGTATTGTTAATAGTGTAGTTAATACTGTATTGTTAATAGTACCATGCTAATTCAGTTTGTTATTATTATTTTAAATTGGAATAAGCTAAAATCTGCTTTTCTTCTCATATTGGTAAAATAATTGGCAATAAATCACTAACATATATATATATTATATATATATATATATTTTTTAGTCCAAAGGGGCTTTGTCCCTGAAGGACTATTGTTTTCGTTTTGCGATTTTAGCGTTGAATCGCTATAAATGTCCGTTTCACTTTTCAAACTGTTGCCACCAAATGTTAGAGTCTTGCATTATATTTGAAGAAATTAAATAATGAAAACTCTGCATAAATGTATGTCTATTTCTCGCATTGTGATAAAACAACGGTACATAGAGGCATCGAATTTTGAATGACGTAATCCTCCTACGAATATGGGCATGTGGAACACTAAATTTGAAATTTGGAATTTGTTTTATTATCGATTTCATATTTTGTAAAACTTTAACGAATTTTTGAGTAGACTTAAAAGCGAGCAATGGCAACTCTCTACGGCGGGGGAAAAAGCATTTTTATCTCCAGCGGACGCGGAACTGTGTATCGGAAATTCTAAACTTACTACTTAGAATCCTTGAAAAGGAGGTGATTAATTTTCCAAAATATTTTTATTATAAAATTTTGCTAAACATACCTTAGAAGAAGTCCATCTCCCATTTGCGGCTTCAGTAGAAAATACTTTTCCCAAGGCGGTACATTATCTTCAGGATTATTTAACATATCCTGTGAAGTATATATTCGTAGAAAACCGTTTAGAATCAAATTCTTACATGTTTGAATCACATTTAATCGTTACTTTCAATACACCATATATATGTGTGTCTTAATTATATTAATTTTGTACAAGAGAATCTCTCAAAATAATCTTTTTCTTTAAACTCAAGCAAAAAAAATATAGTAATAAAAACAACTTGCTTTAACGTATTCCGCTTTGAAGACGAAGATCATAGGTTTGAACCCGAACCATATGCATTTAATTCCTTCCTTCTCGGCCAACATAGAATAGAAAAAACAAAGAACACCTAGATTATTTGAAAAACGAGTATTTTAAAATTCGAAATTAAGTTTTCTGTAACATGTCAAGAATTACAATTTTTCTTGCATCTAAATTGAAAACTAAAAACGTTAAATGAATTCTTCCGTTTTTCTATGAATATCATATAGCTTCCAATTAGCACTAACTAAAAGAAGCTTTACAAAATCAATCGACGATGTAACAAAATCAAAATCATGAATATCTTAGCCGTTACTGTACTAAGTCCGGGAAAGACAGTGCTTCATTTAAATGCAACAGCCATTGTAAACAAAGTTCAGAAAGTCGGGCATACTAATACATATTTCAGTGTCCAGCAGTTTAAAGATACGTAGATTCTAATGACTATATTTTTCTAACGTTCACTGACCTGCTTGCTAAAAAATGAAATGTTGCATAACACTTAACGCATTAACTGAGTTCCATAAATGTTATGCAATATTACATTGCATTTGTTCGATAAAATGTTATGTAATATTGCATTGTTTCATCTGCGAAACTCATTGTTTTATCTGCAACTCTTCATCTTTCATTCATTGCTTCATCTGCAACTGTTTCTGCGAAATTTACAAAACATTTTATTTCCAGTATAATAATTTAACCATAAGCTGAAAGAGCAGAAAACAGGGCAGAAATTTTGAAAAATAATTATATGCACTCTAATTCGAAATCAAGCACCATATTGGTAATAACCTTGAGAATTTAAATCAATAAATTTTTTGAGCTTTCAAGATTTTTTCCTCCAACTATGATAAAACTAAAACATCATACACAGAAGCTGTAAATGAAAGTAAAAATGACGTGCAGTTAGTAATATCTTAAAAGACAATGAAACATGATTAGATCACAAATTGTATACAAACCGAAAATAATAAAATAATTAGCTATGTCATCTTCAAAGTATTATTATTAAATTACTGTAATGATAATTTTATTCATTTATAAGCAGCGAGTTAAAAGTTCTCATAAATAAATAAATAGTAAAGTTTAAAGTATGAAGTTAATTATATTTTAAATCTAATTACGTAGCAGCTCAAAGTTGTTTTAACAGATATATATAATTTGGTAAATATCCCACACACACACACACATATATATATATATGTGTGTGTGTGTGTGTGTACATATATAAACGAGGGCTGTTCAGAAAGTATCGAGGCTGAATTTATTCTATTTATTCCAGAAAACCCCTAGCGGTGGGACTGTGCGCATCATGCACAGTGTTTGCATACGTTCGTCGAAAACAGAAAATGTCTGAAAACACGGAGCAGCAAATCTGTATCACAGTGATCCCCGTTCTGGACCCCCATCCACCTCTCGCAATGAGGACAAGATTGCACAAGTGCAGGCTGTGGTGCGCTCTGATCGTCGTTTAACAGTCCGAGAAATTGCACAGGAGTGTGGCGTTTCCATAGGATCATGTGATGAAATTTTGAGAAAGGACTTGAACATGCGCCGAGTGTCTGCAAAGCTTGTGCCGCGTCTCCTCACTGAGGATCAGCAATTCCAACGACTGGCAATCTCATCTGATTTGTTTCAAAGTACAAGCAACGATCCGGAGTTCATAAAGCTCATCATCAATGGTGATGAGTCGTGGATTTACGGATACGATCCCGAAACAAAGCAGCAATCGTCACAATGGAAAAGCCCCGGGTCTCCTTGGCCAAAGAAAGCACGGCAAGTGCGAAGCCAGATCAAAGTCATGTTGCTTGTGTTTTTCGATTCAGATGGAATTGTTCGTCATGAGCATAATTTGCATAATAAATTCATTCTCGATACTTTCTGAACAGCCCTCGTATATATATATATATATACACAATACATAAATACAATATATATATATACATTTATATATGTATATAATATATATTTAATATAAATACATTTATACATGTAAAATAAAAAATATGAAAGCAAATTTCTAAATTTAATTCGCTATAACCTCTTGTATTTTTTATCTTATTTGGGAACTTCATTTATCTGCCCTAAAAATAGCACTTAAGTCTAAACTGCGTCATTCAAATTAATCATGCGATCTTACGTAACCCTTAACGCAGATTCCTCTTGAACAACCACCAAATTGTAAACTAAAACTAAAAAGCTGAAACTTTTGTCTCCTGCCCTTCTTTCTATGAACTGATGCGCCACTTTTGCTTGTGATTTCCTCTTGGCCAGACGTCTTTCCGCAATCAAGTGTGTGTATTCTGGTAAGTTTCAAATGTAAACAAACATGGCTGCAATATTAAAAAAATTAGGCTTACCCGCACTTAAACAGCTTTTAAATTGTTGATAATTTTACAACTGTAACATGCAGGTTAACTAAAGGCATAAAAACCTTAACCGCAAGATAAGAACAACATAATGTAATCATTTTTTAAAGCAAAAAATGCCCAATTTACCAATATATAAATATCAATACTGAGTTGACGGAGCCGAGTAACAGAGTGGCTATATATGTATATATATATACTTTTGGGACCACCAACTGCTACTAAAAAGGGAGTTGCAGAACTGCATGCTATAGCAGTCCTATATACAAAATTTCAACGTTCTGAGGATATTCGTTTTTGAGTTATGCGAGATACATAAGTACGCACAGACGCCACGAAAAAAAAATCTCTTCTGAATCCATTTTAAGTCAATTTTATAATTCGTTTTCTTTTTATAATTCGTTTGGAGTCCTTTATTATGTCCTTGCGTACAGATGTATCGTAAAAACATCTTTAAATTGCATTCGATAGCGGTTCAAATATGGTACTCCGAATTTTTCGTGATTACAATACTTCCTTTACTTCGTACAAGGAAGTAATAAGGAATCTTGAAAAAATTAAAAATGGAAACATCAAAAATGAATTAAGAAAAAATTGAAAAACCAAAGTTTTAAAAAGGTATAGTTAAAATTAGTTTCCATTTTCATTTATTCTTATTTCATTTTTGATGCTTCCATTTAAAGATTTTTCAAGATTCATATTTTAAATAAGCTTATAAGTTAGTTTATTTCAATAGAATTTTAATTACTTTTATCATAAGAGATAATGTACTAAATAATCCCTTAGTAATTAAATTATATATAATGTATATATATATATATATATATATATATGTAATGAAACTGTGGTTGGATGAAACGACATGAATGATTTGATCGTGAATGCGGTACAAACTTGCACTAAAATTTCCGATGAAACAGGACTTTTCCCGGGATTCACTGTGAACATAGCTTAACAAACTCGTGAGAATTTTTCATAATTAGCACTGCCTGAAGATTGTAATCACAGAACACTTTTGGAGGCATTGAAATAAGAACACTGAGACGTAGATGCGTAGAAATACTAATTGCGTAGATACTAGATGCTTAAAGCATTCATCCATTTTTGAAGATGCAGTCGAGCAGGATTAAATTCCTTTTATTTATTTAAATTCCCATTTTGTGACCACAATTCACTTGGCACTCTACTCGTGCCTATTAAAAAACATTTACGGTTTTGATATTATTGCCACAGAAGCGAATATAGCAGGACATGATTGCGGAAATCTGTGAAGAGGGGATATGTACAATTAAAACTAAGAATTTAAAGGACCGTTTAAGTTTAGTTTGGTAATAGATTTTTCATCGCATTTTGATATCTTATACATATACATATATTTATTCCAGTTTAATATATACCCAACTTGCTTAAAACTCAATAATACAAATACGGTGCAAAATAATGTAGTCTACCTTGACCTAAATATTATTGATTACAATTTTATTAAAGTTTACGATAAGAGGAGAGAATTCACTTTTTCTACACTAAAGTTAACCAACTGGAATTCTAATATTTTCAAAAGAATCATCATTAACACAATTTTTTCACAGCTACTTAGAATAAAAAGAATATGTAATGCTACAGAACACTTACAAGAAGAAATACTTTACTTCGTCGCAATTTTGAAAAATAATCAGATTCCTCATTAAATAATTAAAAATACTTTAAAAAAAGCTGGCATTAGCCTTACCAATTTTTAGATAATTTGTTTTGGATAATGAAATTTTATACTTAAAGCCCAATGGAACGGTATAAAGTGGATGGCTGATTCAGATAATCTAATGTAAAAATTGTAAAAATGTACAGATTATTCTTGTCACTACATTTTCTTTCCTCCAAAGATTTTGGCACTATACTTTAATACTATTGTTTTAATAGTTTTGAATTACTTAGATGGCCAAATTCTACTATAATTAACAAATCGGGCCTTTTCATTTTTCATAATAGCTTGATCGCCCTCTAGCTTGAAGAATGACGACTTTTATTAACCAATGACTTTTTTCCATTTTACTCTTTCTTTAGTGTCCAAGATAAGTAATCTTAGCTGACTTTGCCATTTTCACTTTTTTGAAGCAGTTTTGTTCTTCTAACAACTTGACTGACGCCATTTTGAGTTCTTTCCATGTCTTTTTCGTGTCTCTCAAACCCTCTCTAGCAAAAGGGGGATAAGAGTTCCCGCCAAAATTACAATCTAAGCGCATTGGCCGATACGGAATGGCATTGTTTCACCCACTTACGTCACACGACGAGAGGGATGGTTGGTAGGACACGGAGGGGATTTGCGCCTTTTTCAAATCTGTTTCGCGATCCAGAGGTCGGCACCGCCCCATGTCTGTTTTTTTAGTTTCTTTTGTTTTATGTGTTTCTTAAAATCTTTTTCATGGTCCTAGTAAGACCCACGACGTTTGTTTTCTTGAGTGTTTAATTTCATATTAATTTGATTTCAGTACCATAATCTTTATAAAGGTTTATTCTTCTTTAAGCTAGCAGGACCAGCCCGTACGTTATTGGAATTTTTGACTAATAGCAGACCGCTATTTATTTTATTTTGATTTTAATTTTGTATTGCTCGGAGTTGCATTTCTTACACCTTAATGTGTTTTTCTGCGGACGCGTCGGGAAAAGGAACAGAGATTGAAGCTCCAAAAAGATTTTTTCAGGACAATTCATATTTTTTTTTTAAATGTTTTTCGTCAAACAAGAGCTTCAATGGTCTGTTTCGGCGAAACGCGTAATGGTATTTGGCCTAGTTCGACATTCAACTATTTTCCCCTTGAAAAGCCTAGTTCAGGGTCCGATTGGGCTAATTTACCATTTTCCGCTTTGTAATTTTTATAATTTTTGTAATTTTGCAATTTGTGTTTTAATTATAATTTTTGCAATTTATGTTTTAATTATTTTTTAATTTTATTTTGTTTTAACATGTTCCGTCGATCTATTTTTATATGTATTAACTTTTCACGTGTCACAACGATCAGATTAGTTTTTTCGTGCATTCACATGTTTTCCAACATTGATTTTAAACAGTTTTATTTCGCGTGTAAGCTGTTTTTTCTTTTTTCCATGTTAATATTTTTTTTTTTTTTAAATTTCTTCTTTGTTAATATTTTAGTAATACTGCGTTGAACTATTTCATGGAGCTACAGCTCCTGGTAACTTTATAGCAAGTTCGCTACAATATTTCTTCCTATTATTTCATATTTTTGCAGCATTTTGCGCAAAAACTTTTTAAGACCAAATAGGTCTTACGTCACATTACTTATTAGCTTTTAAATTTCTATTTCGATTGTATTTATATAAATATATATATACATATATACACACACGTTTTGTGTGGTCTCTGTGTAAAATAGGTTCTAAATTTCTTATTTTTTGTCTATATTAATCAATTTTCAGCAGTATATTGCGGGAAAATACTTCGAATAATTAAGCTTTTAATAAAAAAAAATTGTGATGCTATATATATGTAGTATTTTAACTGCATACATGATTGGAAATTGCGGCGTAGTGGGATGACCCGATGGAATTTTAGAAGAAGCAGAGCCAGCTTGATAGTTAAACATCACTTATTTATGATGACGAATTTCTTAGCACATATCTTCCTAACCGGTAAAAGATTAGGGGTGCTTAACGCACCCCATAATTTTAAATATGCAATAACATTTCAAATAATGGCGATTAGCTAGCAGAGGCTGAACGAAGCAGGCAGGCGAAAAAGAGGAAGACTACGCAGTTAGTAGCTAGATGCATAATACAGCTAATCTGTGATTGGTTAATTTTGGGTTTTAGTTTCATATTTCAAGCAGCGTTATGTAACATGGAAAGGTCTCAAATTTGGGAGAACAGATGAATTTAGGGGGAGAACACAAAATTTAGAATAGTTAATTTTGAGTTCGCCAATCGTTTCTTAAAGCAGTCATCGTATTTTGTTATATCTTACGTATTTATGTATGGGTAAGGTGTTTGGCCTCTCTGTTTTAAAAATAGTAACTGCTGGACTATTTCTAAATTAATCAATATCAAATGACTTTTACATAACGATGATGACGTAGCTAATACGGAATTAAAAATTTCGAGAAGCGAAACCTTTCTTTTAAACTGAGCTACCATATTGAATAACTATGCATTTGCTTTCTATACCACGGCCTAGCTACACTCCTGCTTGTTGCTTTCTTCCTAACACAAAAATGTAAATATTACGTACTGGTACAGGCACAATTAATATGCCATTTAATGCACAAATTGTTTAACTACAATAAAAGAAATATGGTCTTACACTATTACGACTGCTCTGCATTAATTCGCATTGTACCATTATGTAAAAATAGCATTTTAGATATTTTTTATTCAAAAACATATCAAAATTTCAACAAAGACCAACTTTATAGCTTTGCCAAAATTCGCACTTACTTTCCCGCTTTCCTTTTGCTGTGCTAACACTTGCTGCTCATTTATTGTCTAAATATGTAACTAGTTATAATTTTTGGCGATGATAAAGAAGAGTATGTGTCCCAAAAATTAGTCATCAAGAAATAATAGTATGTATTGAACCTACGGCCATCTCTTAAGTTTTTCTTTTTCGTTATGCGTCTTATATATCTACGCATCTGAGTCATCCTATACATGCAATAAAGAATCTTAAATTATCAACAGAATTTATTACGTATGCATATTTATACCAAATTTCAGAACACCGTAGTTGGAGCTCTTATTTTCACATGTACAACATTCCAGTCGGTATCCAGTCCTTCATCATGTGTTCTTCAGCATTTCAGACATTATAATTAAATCAATAGTGTATAAAAGTGTATATAGTATATATCATCAGCATATATAATTCATCAGTGTATAAAGTAATTACACACTGATGAACTTGATAATTGGTTACGGAAATCATTAGAACTATAACGCTCAGTAGGCTCACTTACATATGATGAGAGACTGGATATTGTGTGTGTGTGATTACGGCAAAGCCTCGATGCCTATCTACCTAAGGGGAGGAATGCCTTCATGGAGGACTTTCTAAGGAAAACTGGCTCGTATACACAAATGGGGAAAACCATGAAAATGCCCATGCAGCCAGCTCGTTCGTGGGATTCGAACCTCGGACCGAACTACCAGTGTTCAGCGACTTTACCGCTCGGCCGCTGGTGGGCCGGCTAGATGTTGACTGGAAATTTCCAGGTATGTGGATGCGCTCTTATTATTTACCACTGCAATATTTTAAATAATTTATGACCACCCTGTATGGCATACGATAGTTTTCATGTGAATGGAAGCAAGGGTACGTGTGCCTATTGGTAAAGTAGTAATTTATACGATAGTCAGCTAATGATATCTAACAAGAGAAAATATATGGTGGGGAAAATCATCGACATTTTATCAGCTATAACATTTGCACAGAACCTACATAAATGGACTAAGTTTGAATGTTTATGCCTTGATAATTTTTTTTATTTAAATATTAGATTTTTAAGCTTGATGTAAATGATGGTCAAGCTTAAACAACTTTGGATTACCTCATGGAAACGTTTAAAATTGTCAGTAAGGTGGAAGCAAATCGTAGTAAAACTTTACATACATTACATACGTAGTAAAACATTCCGCAAAGCAATTGCCGTTATTTAGTTATGAGCTGATAATTTAATTGGTGTTTACATTTTTGTTAATTCTTTCGTACTAGAGAATGCCCAACGCGTTTATTTGGGAACAATTTAGCATAGCTAACATAAAAAAACATGAATAACATTCATTTTCTCACTGAAATCGTAATTGCAATTTGAGAAAGATGTGAAAAAAAAACTGAGTTTACAGTATGTATAATAACATTGAACATATAAACAAAAATAAGTTTAGCGCAGCATAATATTTACTACAAGACGATCTAATACAGAATATTCAATAAGCATCTATTTTAATTAAGCATTAAAAAAAGTCAGTCTGTAAATTCAGGCAAGAACAATTACTACTGAATCTTTCGTTATCATTATCTAAAAATATTACTTACCGGACAAAGGATGAGTGCCTGCTAAATTGAACTGCTTTATGTGTTTTAGGTACGACAGCAACGAGATATATTGTGTTGGAATCTTCTCTAATTCTTTCGGAAAATAAAATAAGTTTTTGAAACATCTGTACAAATAACACAATGCGATGATGATTACTGCGAATAAAACGAATGATTCAAACATGGTTGCTGGTGAAAAATGGAAGCATTACAGAGCCTTTTTAAAGTATTAACATAAACTGGTTTTCAAATTCCAGTACGCACAAAAATTTTATAATTAGTAATTTCTGACGTTTCTCATAAAATATGATGTTAAAGTATTAAATCAAAGCTCATCCTTCTTCCTCGTATTCTAAAGTGACTTCGTAACAAACATATTGTGGAGATAGCAATCATTGCCACAACAATTAAATTAACAAAAGGAAAATCCTAAACAAATCAACCCCCCTACATTTAAATACTGTAATTATTTGAAAAATGAATTTTAGCTCAGTGATATTTTTTAATATTTCCTTCTTCTACGTCAAGGCCAAATTATATTCAGTATTTTCCGTTAACAAGGCGTTAGCATGCCAAAGACTTGAACACGCACTCATGAACTTAAACGCTTTAAGCCACTATCGCTTTAAGCATATTTACGTTATATCTTAAGAAAAGGGGGGAAATTAAGCAAAATACTATTTAACAGTTAAGGATTTATGAACTGAAACAAAGATCTTGAACTAGAGAATTCCCCCAAGTGGGGAATTTTATGGTTTTAGGACGAGGAGTTGATGCAACCACACATGATGTACATCAATTACAGTAATTGTAACAAAAGACTTGAAACGAAAAGATTAACATAAACATGTTGATGACCTGTTGATGACGCTAAAATGACGCTAAACACGCAACTACCATTATCAGTTACTTTGTTTTAACTTGAACAACATGTTGCTTGTCTGAATTTTAAACATTCTCTGGAAGCTACTTTTACTGACGATGAAATTTGCATAGTTTTCTGGAGTACTAAAGACTTGGGCAAATACTTTCAAATTTAGTCAGATGAACATATATTTGCATATGCCTTAATAAAATGTCTTTAACTTAATGTTGTTGCTTATCCTCGAAAGATCTCTCATATGTCAGATCAATTCCAGAAGGTTGTTGACCACCAAAAAATCAATAACAGTGACGGGATCGGATGTTAAGTCCCCCTTAGAAAGTCCGATACAACCCAGTATGTGATCCGGTGAAGCTGAATGCTCACAGCATTTCTTACAAGCGGGGGTTTTTCTGCCACTATCAAAGGAAAGACATTTATAGTGGTCACTTGTTAGTCTAGCCAGAGCAGTCTGGGAGACACGGTCACATTTGATTTACGGCAGGGAGCCAGGGGATGTTCCTGTGTACCATTGGTGCGTAGGTGGAATACGCTATATTATATTCTGTTTAGATCTTTTGTTGGAGTAAAGTTCTTGGTAAGCAAGCGAAGAGCCAGTGATCGTTTGATTTTTACTTCCCTCTTTTGCTTTAACTTGTAATGTTCCTCACTTTGTAAATGCTAAGTTATTGTGGAACGTGAAGAATCTTAAGAACACTAAGCGAATAATCGCTGAAGTTCGTGTGACAAGAAACAACAAGATGAAAGGGTAAATAACCCTTTATTATTCAAATAAGATTTAACAGAATTCCGACATGAAGTGTACAATAAAAGCCGACACCTGCTCTTGAACTTAAGAGGCTAAGAAGTAAACTAAAACTAATTTAAACTAAAGGAAGGGTTAAATTAGTTTAAAACTAATTTAAACTAAAGGAAACTAAAGGAAGGATATATTAGGAAAGAGATATAGCCGAAGCTATCAAAGTTTTAATCCAGTTGACCCCTTAAACACGAGATGACTGCGAAGCTATAAAGGGCCTTAGTAAGGCCGAGCGTAATAACAGCTTTGAGAGAGAGTAGCAAAAATGCAGACGCGCACAAATCAGAAACTATGATTCTCTCTCACTCAGCAAGTAGAACTTCGCGGTTAAATACCGCTCTTCCTCATTATGTATTCAGAGTGCTTCTAAAACTACGTTCTGGCCGGAAGTAGTAAGTTGAAGTTAAGAATCTGACAGGAAAGGAACTTTAACTTAAAATTTAACTGTTAATAAAATTAACATAATCCTTACAAACTTAATAAAATTAATAAACGTGTCACCGAAGCACCAACAAATCTTGATCTACAAATTTACAATCACAGCAGTCTCCTTACTTGATAAAAGAAGACTTTTCAGTTTCAAAACAAACTAATTAGTTGCAAATCCAATATATCGAGAAAAAATTTTTTGCTGATACTCCTACTAATGAAACAAAAAAATGAAAACTATTTATAATAATAGCAATAATTTTACAAAACAGCTTAGTTTGCTAATTAAACTGTTAAAAGATAACAAAATCCCACATAATTTCATCAAAACACAACTGGTTAAGCTACAGTTATAAATCTAAAAATTACTTTCACCCTCCAACTGCAGTTTCTCATCATAGACTACACCTAAACTATTACGGCGACAGAGTCTGGATGTTGTTATCACAGTTGAATTAGGCATTCTTGTCAAAATTCTAACATTAGTTTAATTTTGATTTGAATGTCTAATAATTATTTATCTCTTTTATTAATCAAATGGACCTACCTCAAGTTCCAAACTTCAAGAAAACTCTTTTGAGTGAATTCTATATTCTGTAATATTTCACAACTTATTTCGTTTTCTGCCTTTTTTTTATCTTTCAGGTTACCTCTAGCTCACGATTACTAGGCACTGGCCTACCTTCATCATATTTTTAATACAGCACACTTCTTTTAATCACTACGATTATTTTTTAACTTCTTAGAATTTATTTATTCTTACAAAATTTATTATAATTCCTTCAAAAATATTTTTGCATTGTGACCACTGAAATTTAAAATTGAATTAATTTTAATACTAAGCACATTAGATTTTCCCGTTTCTTGAACTCAAACTAACTGAAACATACCTTGAGCTCAGTTTTTTGGCGGTTAACGATTTTAATTCCATTTGGATTTATAATCCAGGTAATCCGATGTTTTCCCTTTTCAAATTATTATTGTTACTAAACCATGCTAAATGCCCAAATTAGAAGCCTTTTCTAATTATTTTTATATTATAAGTCAGTTTAAAATTCGTTATTGATCTAATTTCATTACTCAGCACATGTTATGTTACCACCAATCTTATGCTACCGGGGATATCAAATTAAAATAGTTTTAATTTTAAGTTGTTATTCTAGTGTTACAGATTTAAGAACAAAGTCTGCTTTTTATCTTATTATTTTTTATTTTTGGTATCAAAGTTTCATTTGTTATTATTGTTTCATATGTTGGATTGTATCTGTTTGTTTTGTTTTTAGGTCGGTCTGCTCAAGAAGAAATAATTTTATTAGATTTTTTTAAGATTGTTTATGGTTCTAATACTATAATTTTGAAGTTTTTTCCCGACCTGTATGGCTTGAAAATTTCATATACCACCTATACACTACATAATTACTGGAATGAAGACAGTTTCATACATAATCCTTAGGGCGGTATATCTAATCGACAACATGTGTCTTCAAATACCTTTCTCTAGCTAGACAAAATTCTTTCAGTCTTCCAATTAATTTTCTTAAAATGTGATATAAAATTGAAATGGTTGTCGATTATACCGCCTAAATATTTGAATTTTAACTGAAGATTTCTTGTAGTGTGACCTTGTATTTGTATTGATAAATAATCGTTTTAGTTGTATTTATATTACGTCTCAAACCTTCATTGGTCTCCCAGCCCTCCAATTTTGGGTACAGTTCCATAAAGAGTTTTTTTATAGTTTCCAAATATTTTCCTTTAATGAAAACCAGAAAATCATCGGCATAGGATTTTCCTTTAATTAGAAACAGGAAATCACCGGCATAGGCCAAACGCTTTATATTTTCATTTAAATTCTTTTTTAACAAATTATTTGCGATGAGGTTCCAATACACAGGAGCGCTTTATGACACTTGCGGGCAGCCTTTGTCAGTTAACTTCGTAATATTCTCAAATGTAATGGCGTTCTGTAAAATAATCCTTTATAATAGAGTATTTTTTAATAGATAATAGAGTATATTGATAGTCGTTTTTGAAATTTCCACATCGAAACAATCCAAATATTGTTTCGGAAGCTTAAGTTTGGTTTTAAAACGTTTATTTCTACCTATTATTGCTTCATGATAGTAATCTGCAGCGATCAGAATAGCAATATTTTTGTCATTGCATTTAGAAGAATCAGTTACTTATAATCCTCTTAATTCTTTGTTAATTTTGGAAGATGATATATTAGGAAAGAGTAAATTAGTTGCGCATATTTGGTTAGTTTCTAAAGCTTAAATTTCTATCTTTAGGGAGGGTTCATTTCTGTTTTCGATTTTAACTTTCACAACATTCTCAGTTCGTCCAGTTTCCTGGTTAACCCCAAAGGCAAATAAGGTCAAAGTCTTCATTTCTACGTTTAGGGAGGGTTCATTTCTATTTTCAATTTTAACTTTCACAATATTCTAAGTTCGTCATGTTCCCTGGTTAACCCCAAAGGCAAATACCGTTAAAAAAAGTCAAACATATGCTTCGTAATATTGGTAAAAGCATTGAATACTATGAAAATAGTATTGTGTATTAAGTGTGAGACATCAATGGAAATTAATGAGTGTGTTTCTCGACTGGAAGAATTATTAATCGATAATATGGATAAGTATCTAAAAGTAAAATGTAAGAAAACACAATGACAAATTACTAGTTGGGGGACTCAAGACTTAAGAAGCAAAGGAGGATTATTTGTGCACTAAGGAAGAGTTCCCAGGTTAGCAAGATCAATGATAATGTTAGATTGAAGAGAAAAATTGAATACTAAAGAAATTTGGCCCTATAAAAAAAAGAAAAAAAAAAGAAAAAGAAAAAAGAAAATTAAAAACACTAAAAGAAGTTATAGAAATATGATCTTTCTACTAAATAAAGAGTATTGTGATAATTATTATCGGATT